GTATATTGGTTAACTATTCAGAGGCAAATGTCTGATCAATTCAGATAAGAGGTCTTAACCATTCAGACTCTGTATAATACTTAACCATTCAGAGGCAAATCTCTTAACCATTCAGACATCTGAACCATTAAGAGGCTGAAACAAACAGTCTGAACCATTAAGTGCTGAACCATTCAGACATCTGAACCATTAAGAGGCTGAAACAAACAGCCCCTAAGTAGTTAATAATGTGTAAGTGGATCTAAATTCTAAGAGTAGTTGCTAAGTAATGTGGTAGTGAGCCTAAAATCTAGGTTAATGTGGTAGTGGGCCTAAAACCATGTTCTCTTCACTAATCTGAATGGTTCTGATTTGACTAGAATAAATTCTGATGTGATCTGAATATGCAATTATATTTAAAGCTATTTCTGATCCGGTGTAAGTAATAAATAATAAGAATAAGTTGAAGAGAACATGCCTAAATTCTAGGGATTGGTAGCTATTTGACTTCTATAGATATTAAGGCTCAAAATATGTAAAAGTTATCCAAAAAGGAATTCAATATTTGTTATTACAGATTCTCCTTGGCATTATTACTTATATATGTTTAAGATTCTTGCTCATATTTTGATAAAGATTTGCATTCATCTTTATATTTTAGGGAGTTAGATCCTGATTTCATAACCTGATAGAGACTTTATTTATTTCCCTGCCACTCTCAACTGTAATCAGGGAAAGTGTGTTGATCCTACTGTACGAGGGTAAAGGGTAAATTTGATATTCACAACTTACATATGCATTAAACTCCTTAGCCACACATGAATATTTGGGAGTGTATAATTGAGGGTAGACTTCGAAAAGAGGTGTACATTTTCATGCCTGGTAAGTCGTGCATCAAGGCCATTCATCTCTTACACAGGTTGATGGAACTCATGGAATCATATAGGACTAAGAAGAAGAACCTTCATATGGCGTTTATTGATCTTGATATGGCATACAACAGGGTACCGAGATCTTGTGGAGGAGGTGTCTTGAATTTAGAGGGGTTTTGAATGGGTACATTCGTGCAATCATTAGAGATATGTATGTCAGAGCAAGGACTAGGGTGAAGACTAAGATTGAGTACTTCGAAAATTGTTTTAGTGGTGGGCTATTAGAAGCTTGCCTTAGGCGTCCTTTGCGGCAAGAGAATTTTGGTTTGGATGAAGAGAAAGTTCTATCAGGCTATACTTTACGGAGCAGAGTGTTGGGTGGTGAAGAAAACTATGTTCGCCAACTGCAAGCTACAGAGATGTTTATGCTACAGTGGATGTGTGGACATACTAGGTTGGATAAGATTCAGAAAAAATTTATCAAAGGACGAGAGGGAGTGGCTTTTATGGAGGATAAGTTAAAGGAAGTCAGGTTGAGGTGGTTTGGGCATGTGAAACATCAAAGTGTTGAAGCTCCGGCGTGGAGGCGCGAGAGGATGACGATATGAGCGGGAGTGGAGGTAGAGATAAACCTAAGAAGAATTAGAAGTGTGAAGCCCTAACCAAGGATATGAACTTAGATAGGATGGTTTGGAGTTCTAGGACTAGTGTAGTACTGTAGTTGGTTCCTTCTAGGACTCAGAGCTAGTTTCTTTAGCTCTTAGAGATTAAGATAGGTAGCCTCTTGCTCTCACAAAGTGTGCTTTCCTTGCTTGGTGACTTTTCATTTTTGTTCCTAATTTTGTTTCTCGTAATTTGTTTTCTCTACTCTTAGCTTTCTTTTTCTTTCGTGCGCTGTAATTTTTATTTGGCTCGTGTTGGGATCTCTTGCAAATAGCCTCTCTACATTCCAGTACGGGCAATGTCCTTGCGTACACTCACTCAACCTCTCGAGACCTTACATTTGTGGGATTATACTGACTTGTTGGTGTAACTAAAAACATTATATATATGTGTATGTGCTTATGTATATAATTCTTTCTTTTTGTCTAGGTTTGCATAGCGTATAACAAAAAGAGATGAAGACCTTTACCTACCTGCTCCATCATGGTATGAAGTATTCTCTCTCTCTCTCTCTCCCTATATATATATATATATATATATATATATATATATATATATATAAACCATAATTTTTTATGATAGCTATTATAATACTCTTTCTGTCCTAAAATTAACTAATTTGACTTTTCGTGGTCTTCCTTGCAACACTTTCAAAATTACTATCTCCATTTATATATAAATATAGATATACAAATACAACATTTCAAAACTATGTTTCAAAATAAATTTGTTGATATTAAATTTATATAAAAATTCAAAGTATTTCTTCCGTAATAGATGGTCAAAGTTCAAAAAGTTTGACCATGAAAAATTTAAATAGGGAAGTTAGTTTTAGGATAGAGGGAGTATTTAATTACTCTATCTCTCAAGAAATGAAGTATTCACACCGTTCATACGGTTAAATTTTATTCACTTTGTTTGCCTATTTTTAATACTAATAAGGCAATAAATAGATAATTGAAAATTTGATTACCGTCCGCATTCGTATATGTTTTTATGAAAAATATCTGTAACCGTTAGAAGTGGTTATTATCCGTATCCAATTAAGGATATCGGATTGGTAAACAGATTGGGATATGGAAATCATACATTCGATCCGTTTATAATCTGCTCCGCATTGACATTCGTTTAAGTAATTGTTTATCCGTATATCAGATCCATTATATATAGTTTTTCCTAATTTTTTTTATATTTTATTTTTCTATTGATATCCCAAAATGTAAGACATTTTTATATGTTTTTTTTTGAAAAAAAATATGTGTATGTGTATTGAGTATATTTTTATCATATGAATTGCTGCAGAATATCATAAATTATAGAAAATAAGAAAATAATTATCTCATAACAAATTATAGTTGATTTAATAATATTTTGACTTTAGTTTAATTGATATTTAAGTATTATTTAATTCAATTTTAAAAATTGGAAATGGATACGGATATATCCGATATCCGACCGATGTAGATACGGTTTCGATTTCCGGTATCCGTCAAGATCCGTATTTGAATTCGATATCCGACAAAAATAAATGGATATGGATTTGGTAATAGCACATCCGATTAATATCCGTTAACACCCCTAGTCAAGTCACTTCTTATTTTGAAAAACTTTTTATGTAGTTTTTTATATATAAATTTTATTTTTTTAAATTTTACACCTATTATTAAACAAATTGAAAATAAAGTTTGTCAAACCTCGTAAAATGAGAAATTTTATTATAATTCTATGTTTTTGTTTGTTTATTACTATAATGTCAATTGTCATTTGAAAAATGAATAGTTGATATAGTTTAATTTGTTAGGGGCTTGCTGGAGCTTAATTGACTAGATTTTAAGTACCTTTAAAAGATTTATTTGTGATACTTTTGTCATAAAAATACTATCTCTGTCCCAGAGTAGTTGTCCAGTTTGACTTTTTCGAGTCAAACCGTACAAATTTCAATCATTAATTACTCTTAATATGTAAGTGACCGTTTCCGGCAATATCCGCCGAGTGGCATCTCACTACCAGCATAGTCGGAGAGAGGACGAAGAGAGCTTCCTTCAGGTAGGCATCACGTCACTGGAGGTTCATCATCGAATCTCCCAAGCGTGAGTTGTATGGTCTTTCAACTCTAGTTCTAGGTTCCGATTATTTAGATCTTAAGCTTTGAATGATTGAATCGTTGTTTTCTTAGCTTGTATCTGATATTTTTATTTGGGTTATTGTTACGATTCATTGTTTGCATGCAATTGTTTCGCTCCAATTTGCTAATCAGTCGATTGTTTTGGTTACTTGTGATTTATCACTCGTTTGAATTGAAAAGATGATTGCATGCTCTATTCCTTGCTGTCTTGTTTTCGAGTCTGAGATGAGCGAGTAAGCTGCCTTGCTTTGGTTTCATTTGTGAATCTGTGAAGGAAAATTAAGTGTTGAAGCTTTTTTGTGTTCTTAATCTTTTAAATCTTAGAAGTGGTATGTTAGATGAGCATGTTTTGTAAGATGGATGAGGCTGTCTTGTTTTTTAAAACTAAACAAGCATTGTAGACCTCACAGTTGTTGGCAATCTGTTCTTCTGAGAGCACATCTAGCTAAGGGAGACAGATTTTGGTGCCAAACAGTGAGTTCAGATCAAGCAGTTACTGATCTCTATATGCTGGCGTTCTAATATTGTGCTTGTCTAGCTTGAGTGCTCCTATTGTCAAATGTCTAGGCTGGTGTAGAGGTTTCTGTAGGAGGTATGGTTAGTGTTTGATGCTGGGTCAGGCCTAACTAAATAGTAAGAACTAGCATGTGGATATTTCCACCAGCTCAAGATACTTCTGTGTTTAATTCATCTGCGCTAATGATTCACCGATTTACTTAACATGCTTCCACAAATTGAACCAAGGCGTTTTCCCAAGTTATGAAAACCAAGTTTTAAATCCTAGTTTTGTATTCTGTTTTGCTGTAGTTTATTCCCATTTGCTTCCTGTTCTGTTTTCTCATTACTTGTTCGCTTTTATTCTCGATTGAACAACAAAAACCCCTTTTGTAGGTGCTACTTGCCTATTTGCTTGTTTAAATAATTATACCCATTTTAGTTTACCACTAGCCCCTTAGGGGTCCGCCCCACTTGCCACTCTATTACCCTTATTTTAAGAGATGCACTTGGTACGTAGGTACTAATTTGTTACATCCTAACAATTTGTCAATAATTTTGGCACCATTGCCGGGGAAATGTGATGGAAGCCTTAGGTGATGTGATGCATGCTTTAGAGTTTGCAGTGAGTGCACTGGAAATTCTAAGTGCGGGGGAGAGTTTTGACTTTCTTTTGACATACCCCTTCCACCAGACCAAACCCCTTTTCCAAACACGGTTTAACACACTGCACCCTGAGCACAAAGAGGCAGTCTAAGAAGTTTTTGAAGAACATTTTGAGCAAACAAGTTTTGTTCTAATATGTGTGTTTTGAACCTTAGATGAATTGTTGTGAGAATAAGGGTAGAGGACATAGCTTCTGAGTTTAATTAATGCCTGAATTCCTTTCCCCCATCCCAAAGAATTGCTTGAAGACTGCATTTTATTTTCAAGCACAAAAGAGAAGAGATGTTTTAAATGTCAAATCTAGCTTCATTTTTTCTAAACCTCAGGCGATTTTTCAATGATTTTGTAGGGATTAGTGGATCCCTTAAAATCAATCCTTTAGGTAAAGTCTTAACACCCGATCCTAGTTGGATTAATTAGAGTTGTGTTTCTTGAACTTTCTTTTAACTGGAGCATATTTGGAGACCACCTTTTGGATTTGGCATAGTTGGTACTGCACCATATACCTTTAAGCAATAGCTCTGAAAGGAGCATTGTGTATGGAGAAAAATATAATTGAAAGAGCAAACCCCATAGATTGGGCCGTCCAAATCTCGAAAAATATGTACAGACTTGAGCACCGCTAGTCATGAGAGATCTAAATCCATCATCAGACCTGTAACATTTATAGGTCATGACTATGTGTATTTTGTCATAAACTAGTCTTCTCTCTCTCTCTCTCATTCTCTCTCTCTCTCTCTCTAATAGGCTTGGGGTAGCTTCGCTTAATCGTTAAAATGAGAGTACAGGAACCTATAGTTTAAGGACATTTAAGAAGGCATTTTTGATGTCTAAATGGTCCAATTTGGATACTTGGGTCTTGGTTGATTCTGTTTAAATGGGTTGGGGGAAATGAAAGAGTTGCTTTCAAACAGGGGAATTCACAAATTGGCCTGTTGTCTTTAACAAACTAAAGCAGAAGCTTAGGACAATTTTTGGTGTGTGAAATAAGGCAGCATTCATGTGGTCACCTTTGGAGGAAGAAGGTGAAATGCGTGCATTAATTAGGCTGTTCCAGATTTGGACCGTTGGGAAGTTGCATCTTCTATTTTTACTCTTTCACCAATTTACCTTATGACGGTCAAAAGACAAGTGTGGAGGATTTGTTGCAGCTTAAAATTCTGATTTTTATGTGCCTTCAAGATGCATGTGAACCAAGGTGTTTTTCCCAAATTAAGAAAATCAAGTTTTACATCCTAGTTTTGTATTCTGTTTTGCTGTAGTTCATTCCCTTTTACTTTCTGTTCAGTTTTCTCATTACTTCTTTACTTGTATTACCAATTGAACACCCCCCCACCCCCCATATAAGTTTTGCTTGTTTAAATCATTATACCCATTTTTGTTGATCACTAGTCCCTGAGGAGAAGACCCTACTTGCCACTGGATTACCCTTATTTTATGAGCTGTACATAGGTACTAATTTGTTACATCCTGACAATTTATCAACAAATTTTGGCACCATTATCGTGGAAGTGTGAAGGTAGCCTTAGGTGATGTGATGCATGCGTTGGAGTTTGCACTTAGTACACTACGAATTCTGAGTGGGGGAGAATTTTGGCTTTCTTTTGACATACTCCATCCCCTAGACCAAACCCCTTTTCCAAATACACGGTTTAACACTGTGCACAGATCACAAAAAAGGCTGTCTTAGAAGTTTTTCAAGCACAATTTTGAGCATACATGTTTTTTCACTTACATTTGTGTTTTGACCCTTAGATGAATTGTTGGGAGATTTACACTATGTTTGGTTCAAGAAATTTGGAAGGAAAAGAAAAAAATGATTTTTCTCTCATTTTCCTCAATGAAGTAGGAGGAATTTGGTTTACCCTCATCTTAGTAAAATTTGTCTTATTTTCTTTTCCTTCCACTTCTTTTCTTTTCCTCTCTAATCAAACATGAAAATTTGTTTTCCCTCTCTTTTTTTCTTTTCCCTTTCAAATTATTTGAACCAAACATAGTGTAAAGCTAGAGGACATGGCTTCTGAGATTAATTAATGCTTGAATGTCATTTGCCCCCCCATCCCAAAAGAATTGTTTGAGGACTGCATTTTATTTTAGAGCGGAGTTTTTGTTTTCAAATATCTAATCTAGCTTCATTTTTTCAAACCTCGGGCTAATTTTTCAATGATTTTTTAGTGATTAGTGGATCCCTTAAAATCAATCCTTTAGGTAAAGTCATAAGACCTGACCCTAGTTTGATTAATAAAGGATGTTTTTCTTGAGCAATAACTCTGAAAGAGGCATTGTGTAAGTATGTTCAGTCTTGAGTATTGCTAGTCATGAGAGTTCTAAATCTATCATAAGACCTGTACATTTATAGGCCATGACTGTGTATTATCTTGTCATAAAACTGTTTTTTCTATCTCTCTCTGGAAGCCCTTGTGATAGTTTTCTGTCTAAGTCCCGAGCTGAATTCTAATATGCTTGGGGTAGCTTGACTTAATCGTGTTAATGAGAGTATATGAATGATGAGTTTGGGGTAGATTGGCATCCGTGATGTCAACCATGATGGGTTTCTAGAATGCATCATTTTCTTATATTCATATCATTGAGACTAACACCACAAACATGGCCTTTTTTCACTTGCACAAACCCCTGCGCACGTAGCGCAGGGGTTTGTGCATCAAGCTTTGTGATGCGGGCGGCGTACAGGAGGCGCGCGCATAACTGTGCATCATCGCATCATGCGGTGCGATCTGAGGCGCTACAAGGCGCGCATCACGTACACATCTTTAAATTTTAATTTTTTTCTTTAATTTTTTATTGATTAGTGACAATTGGTTGCTGTCGGAAAGATGTTGCCTAGAGTAATCGACTGCTTGTCAAAGTAGACAATGTTTTTTCAGATTTCATTTATTTATTAAAAAACCCTAGAACTCCAGCACTTGTCGACTTGGACTAAGTTGAAGTCACAGTCCAGATCCGAAGCCCCTCTTTATTTATTTATTTAATTATTTTTTATTTTTAACTTCAATTGCTTTTGATTTTTTTATGCGTTTGACGTTTGTTAAAAAAACTGTAATTAAATTTACTATTTATTTCAGTTTTTTAATTATCTTGCAATTTTGCTTTGAAATTAAATTTACTATTTATTTGTCGGGTTTGAGGATAAAAATTGATGTAGTATACTAGTATTTGAAATTTGAGGATAAGGTTAGTAAGTTAGTCGCTCCTTTTATTATTTGTTTTTGCAGTATTTTTTCACTTTTTTTGTGAGATTTCCCCCCCTTTTACCTTTTTTTGTATTTATATCTGGTACACTCTTTCAAGTTTCAAGAATGTAAGAATCTCTAAATTTTGGGGTCTAATGATCCCAGATGAAAGTATGTTTCAAGAGTCACAAAAACAAATAGCAATGACACCATTTGCCTAATTTGTAATAAAATCCATGAAGTTTTTGTATGTTTGTATGCTTTTCAACATTTTATATGTACTATTACTCTTTTAGAGATGCTATGCTACTTGTGTCTCAATGTGCGCATTGTGTTCGTGATGCGCGCGCATCAATAGCGCATCACGCATCTAGGCGCTAGAGCCCCTTTGTGCATCGGTGCACATCACGCCTTAAATAACTATGGTTTTAGGCATTCTAGCCCCCATCCTGTTTGCCCCTGTTGTTGGCTCAGTGTCCCTCATTAATAAAAATCTATCTAATCAATGTTTTAAAAATCGGGCTAGGCGTCCAATCTGAGTAGTGGGTCAAAAGTTACCGATAAGATTAGTTGAATCAGGCCAACAACCCAGCCAACATACTTGTAACTATTTCTATTAATTAATGTGTTCATATATATTGTGTAACATTTCAGAATCATATTAAGCTGATTGAAATGAAGTAAAGTGGAATAAAAAATAAATTGTACTCCCTCCGTCCTCCAAAGATGTTCTTGTATCGACTTTTATGCATTTTTAAGGGTTAAAATGGTTTTCACTTCCCAATTTTACCCTTCAATCCCTTACCCTTCTCAGAACACTGTTATGTGCTTGAAGCTCACCAACCCTACCACCGCCCTAGCACCACCTTCTCTGCCAGCCTCCACCACCACCGCCAGCCCCACCATCTGCCCCCAGCCCCCATTCTTCACTGTTGCTCTCATCCCCCAACATCACTGCCACCATCCCTAACAAAACTAGACCTATAAGTCAACTATTGTCATGAAATTTAATAAAAGAAGAAATTATAGTTGAATATATCGATGTCCCTTAAATTCAGATAAAATATTGTTGAACTTTAGATATTAAATGAAAGATGGAATTGTTTGATAACTATGAATATTCAAAGTTCATATTGAAAAACATTTAGAGTGAAAATCAAATCATACATCCTAAACCTTATTCATTTTTATCGCCTTATTCACATTTAATTCTTTGTTTCATTTACATTTTTGAGTGCTATTGACTCGATTATAAAGTAGTATCTGTTTATACCTTTTCACCTAATGATGCACAATGAGCCAATGCCCCCGCCTCCACTAAGACTTGAACCAGAGCTTCCCAATGAATCTTGGGGTGGGCTTCCTGCCACTCATGTCAATGAAGGAGCTCATGTTTTATTAGTTCATTTTGTGGATGTGTTTATGACATTTGATAACACTCAAAATAAATATGGCATTTAAAACTATTTGATTCTAAGTTCAAGTTTAATTTGTGAGTTCAACTATCTTAACATTGATTTGATTCATATATACTGAGGATGAAATCGATTCAATCCAAAGAACAGTCCTAGTTGAATTTATAAAGAGGAGAAATGATATACACCATTTAATGATTTCATAAAAAACAAAGTAAATTTGTTATTAATATGGTTTGTGATTTTGATGATAATATAGAAATGTTTTGCAGGAAAAAGTTTAAAGACAAGGAAACCATTGAAGGTGAAGAGCAGAATAACAAAGAAAAGGAAAGAGGTACAACAAAATCTAATCTCCCTTCCCTAGGCTAGAGATTTATTTATATTTTTTCATTTATTCATGTCTCTATCCATCCCGATCATTCCTATAGAGAGGGGTGAGGTTGAGATCGAGACAGATGAGGTCCTACTTAGGGTGGCCAAATGGGTCTTAGAAGTTAGAACAGTGTGTCAAAAGTGAACCACACAATATGGGGTTCGTCCAATATTTCATTTTTATAACCGGTCAGTTTGCGCCAGTTAATATGTGTAAATGGGTTAAGCCAGCATTCATACATTGCCATTTGTTTGCTATTTTGGTTCAATTGGCTTTTGGTTGCATTAACGGTGTATCTTACTACCATTTAGCTTTAGTTTTTCACTGCCGGTGAGGCACTGAAGACTGGTTTGGGCGTTGACTGTGTATTTGACTACCATTCATTTGGAATATGAGTTGTGCTTATATGGTCCTAAGGTCCACAAATAAAAGTGGACCTTCTCACACATTTTATGAGCTATTATTTGTGATTTTTCTTTTTTGCAAAAAGCCTAATTCTTTCATGCTGTGTATGTACTAAGGTCTACAAAATGAATGGGGACCTAATGATCACGTAAAGATTTACCTTGGAATATATGCTTGTAAATCCTTTACAATTCATATTTATAGTGTACTTCGTCGTGTTAGGTTCAGACCTGTGGACCCGTGAATACGATTCGTTTCAAACAAGTTGGGTTAGAGTCAGTTTCAATTTTAAATTATACTCAACTCGTCCTGTATAAATAAAACAAGCGGGTCTGTGTTTGTACAAAATTGGCCCCCACTGGCTCATCCCACCCCAAGTCCTACTCCCCTCAGAGTGCATATGAAGTTGTTCCCATTAGAGCTGATCTAGGCATCTTAGGATATCATAACTATTCAGTTGGGCAAACTTGTTTATTTAAGGATGGTACATTGGGCTTCTAAGCTTATTATTACATAATCACTGTTTACCCAAGCCCAATATTAAGCATATATAATTGAAATTAAATATTTTTCTAGATTGTTTATCCGAGTTATCATATGCTCAAGATTATAGTTACTTGTCAATTGAAAAATAGATTGTTCATTGCAGGTTACTCTTATGAACAAGGTGCCGGTGAACATTCAACGTTTCTCAGTCGTGTTTACGGTCAGTAGCCATATGTTTTCTTGTATTCAGACTGCTTTCGTTTCTTTTTGTCTTCAATTGCATTTAATTTTTTCTATGAAAACTGAAAGCGTACAATCTTATTTAAAACAATGTGACAAACGAAAGAATTCTATATTGGAGCTTTATATCTGTTGCATGTATGAAGTGTTAATTAGTATCTTCGTACGGAGTACTTAAATGGAGCTGGATGAATTGATTTGATTGCCTTAACAAGTTTACATGATATGGGCTATATCAAGAGTCAGTTATTGAGTTATCAAGAGCCAATTATTAGACCACGTGTATTAATGGAGTCCAAAGATGAGCATTATCTGTTATGTGGTAGCCACCTCATCAAGGGATTCTATGGCAAAAAAGTGTTGTAAACCCTTCTTAATGATTACACAATTATTGTTTTTTTGTTTCTTTAATTTTCTAATCTAAATAAAAATAATACTAAATTAAAAGCAAACAATA